AAATTGTATTTCTTGAGCAAGTTGTGTCTATAAGACTTTGGAGACAACTGTATATGATTACTGGCTTGACTGCATTTGCCAAAACATTAGAAGAACAGAGTCTAAAACATCCTACACATTATCCATTTGCTTTCATGAATGCTTTGGCCAAAGTGGGTCTCTTTCAGAAAGTCAATCTCTGCAGAAAAATATGTTTTGTGTTTTTCTTCTTGAAGTGTGTGTATGTGTCTGTACAAATGTGTATGTGTTTTCCGGACAGAGGGATAACATTTGTACTCCTACGTTACTGACTGTGTACATTAACCAATTATTACATCTTTATTGAAAAAATTCTGCTTAGACAATAAACCCATAATTGTGTTTATTAGGAAACCTGATAGAAAGATCCTTTATTTGTTTGAAACCTGACATAAATACAATACTTAATTGGCCATCATGGTAAATTCAAAAAGTATTTCTATTTCATGTGGTGATCTATGGAGTAGTGGGGCTAAGGTGACAGTGGATTCCTCCAGCTTTGGTTGTAATATAAAAGAGCGGGCACTAGTAATAGTGCCACATACTAGTAGAGGTGGCAAATACTATAAAATACCAGGAGGGGTCATCTTTAAAAATGTTATTCCAGTGTGGTCTGGATTGGACTCCAACATGAGAGCCAGAAATAAAGAAACATATTCAACCAAGTGAGTTTACCACTTGAAGAGGATTATTGCTTGAAGAAGACATAGACAATCAGTCAGCAACTGAAAGATGGTTATCGACAGAGAGAGCAGCAGCAGCTTTGGAAGCAGTATAAAGGCAGGCTGAGCATTGCAGAAGCAAAATACCATTCAGAAGCTGGTTTGATACTCTGTAATGATAGACGGGGCTAGGATTCAAGATGGTGATGACACAGAGCGACTCTTTGCGAGCTCCCTACTGCACATCTTACTCTCTCATTTCCTACAATCGTTGTGCACTTTTAAACCTTAATTTTAAGTCTGTAAAAGTTACTCACCTTCTTTGCAGCCGTAACTTTGTATTCCTTACTCTGTTCAAGCACCCTATGATCTTCGTATGTTATGATTTGCGCTGCATGCAAAACAAAACTTTTCACTATACTTAGGTACATGTAACTACAATAAATCAAATCAAATTGAAAAGAAGGGAAAACCAGTTACACATAGAAAATACTGAGTCCTCGGTTATCAGGGAAGACTCTGCAAGGACCAACAGAAGTCTGCAGAAAAAGAAAGTTAGAGATCCTAAGAGAAAAGGTAATAACTATGAAAAATGGAATGTAGAACAGAAACGAAAGATGTATAAAAGAGAGATCTGACCTCTCTCAATGAGCATTGCTGTCATCGATATTAGGCTCCTTGAGGAACAGCAAAAAGGCCAGAAAATAAATTCAGACCAAATTACAGAACCAGGATGTCTTCAGAATTTATTTAAGCCGAAAATGAGCAATTTTAAAGAGATCTGGCAGACTTTAGCAGAAGAAGAAAAAGTCAGCACAAGTTCAAGATTTAAAAGGACTACAATATAATTAAATAATCTTGGCAGGAAGATCATATAAAGGCCACAGAGAGAGAACTTTAAATAAAAGCTTGTGTAGAAAATGTACTTGTTTTAGAATGTGATTGGCAGTTAAAGGTCTACTTTACTTGTGAGGAATCAGAGGAACTCCATCTTGGCTGCTGAAGGCAGGAAAACCTTAGAATAAGCAGGTATCCGCAATTATGATCATTAAAATATGTAGAAAAACCCTAAAATAGGCTGGAAAATATTAGACAGCACAGAGGTACTGTATTACAAACAGCCTAACTTAAAAAGCTTGAAATTACCACTGAACATTCACTTAATACAATTTAAAGCTTTATTGAAGAATTTAATAGTCATTCAGTAATACAGAGCTTAAAACGACTGGTAAATGATTGGAATGCTGTACAGAATCTAGCAAGCTGTACAGTAATTCAATTTAAAACAGCATTTGTAAGCTAGAGATTATAATCAATATGGCATTAATACTTTAAAACAGCTTTACAGTAATGAGATTAAGCAGCACATTTGAGAAGAATTAAGAGTCTAATGATGACCGTGAATCCATCATCGATTGTTGAAAAGACCCATCTGGTTCACTAATGTCCTTTAGGGAGGGAAACGGCCATCCTTACCTGGTCTGGCCTACATGTGACTCCAGACCCACAGCAATGTGGTTGACTCTTAACTGCCCTCTGGGCAATTAGGGATGGGCAATAAATGCTGCTTAGCCAGTGACGCCCTCATCCCCTGAATGAATAGGAAAAAAATACTGAGTTGGACGATCATCCATGATAATATTGAATGATGGAGCAGGCTTGAAGGGCTGAATAGGAGATTTCCTGGAAGCATGGCACTCCACAAAGCAGGCTTTAATAAACACATTGAACTCGACCCCATATACATTCCACTATGGAGGAAACCCGGAAGTGAGGCAATCCATCGCAATGGACCCCAGAGTTTAAAAGCCAGGCGGGAAAACACACTGACGCTTTATCAGAGGCTGCACTGAGGATGTTACCAAGCACAGTAACGAAACGTCTGCGGAACAACAAACCAGCTTGGCGAGCCAACCAACCTCAACAATAACCTGCTCACTGATGCTTAGGTTTAGTTCTGCAAGGGCAATAGCTCCTAAGCTCATTACGGCCTTGGTCCAAACATGAAAAAAAATCTGAACTCAGAAGGGAGGTGAGAGTGATTGCCCTTGACATCAGGACAACACTTATCAGAATATGCCATCGAAAAGCTTTAGCAAAACTGAAGTCAATGGGAAGCAGGATAAAAATCCTCCATTAGTTAGAGTCATACCTGTCACAGAGAAAGATGCTTGTGGTTGGTTAAGACTAAGTACATCTCTGCAGAAGTTCCTTAGGGTAATGTCCGAGACTAAACTATCTTCAACTGCTTCATCAATGACTTTTCCTCCATTATAAGTTCAGAAGTGGTGTTTACATTTGTTCAATGTCATTTGTGACTTCGTGATACTGAAGTATTTCATGTCCATATCAGCAAGACCTGGACAACATCTAGGCTAGGACTGATAATTGCCAAGTGGCAAGATTAAACCATGCAAGTGTCAAGCAATGACCTTCTCCAAAAAGAGTTTCTAATTATTTGTCCTTGACATTCAATGGCATTACCGTGTTGAATCTCCTCACTATGAACATCCTGGGGGGGGTTACTATTAGCCAGAAACTAAACTGAACCAGCCATATAAAAATAGTGGTGATAAAAGCAGATCAGAGACTAGAAATTCACCTGGTAAATAACTCCTCCCTTATCTCCCGACAGTCTGTTCACCATTTACCCAGGAGCTTAATAGAATACTGTCCATTTGCCTGCAAGAGTGAAGTTTTAACAACACTCAAAACGATGAAACTATCTAGAACAAAGTAGCCTGCTTGATTGACACTTCCTCACTACCTCTACCACCAATGCACAGTGGCAGCTTTATACACCCTATATAAGATACACTGTAGCAAACCACCAAGCCTCTGGACTGCAGCTTTGAATCTATGATCTCTACCATCTGGAAGGGCAAGGGCAGAAGAGGGATGGGATCCCCACCTCTTGAAAATCTCTATATAAGTTGCACACCATTCTTACTTGGAACTTTATTGTTTTTTTCACTGTTGCTAGATTACAATCATGGAACTCCCTTCCTAACAGCACTGTGGACATAACTACACCGTAGGAACTTCAGCAGTTCAAGATGGTGGCCCAATATCACCTCTGTTTATCTGTGTATGTCATTAAAAGGGACAGGGCAGGTAGAGAGAGTAGTTAATAAAACATACAATATTCTAGGTTTCATTAATAGGGTCAGAAAGTACAAGAGCCGGGAGGTTATGCTGAACTTACATAGAACACTAGACAGACTTCAGCTGGAATATAGTGTTCCATTCTGCGATAACACGGTGTAGAGCTGGATGAACACAGCAGGCCAAGCAGCATCAGAGGAGCAGGAAGGCTGACATTTCAGGCCTAGCCCGCGTACCACTTTTAGGAATGTTCTGAATGTATTGGAGAGAGTGCAAAAGAGGTTCTTGAGAATGGGCCAAGGATGAGAAACTTCATTTTTGAGGATAGATTGGAGAGGTTATGACTGCTTTTGTTGGAGAGAAGAAGGTAACAGGAGATTTGATACTTGTCAAAATCTTGAGAGGTCTGCCCTGTGTAGATAGGGAGAAAGCATTCCCAGTTGTAAGACAATTGAGAACCAGCGTGAAGCAGATGTGAGGTAAAAAACTTTTTCCAAAAGGCATGCATTTAGAGTCTGAAATGGATTGCCTGAAAGTTTGGTGGAGGCAGGTTCAACTGATGTATTCAAAAGGGCATTATTTAAATACAATGTGTGAGGTTATGGCAAAAATCAGGAGATTAGCACGAATTGAAAATGCTCAGAGATCTGGTGTAGACACTACAGGCTGAACAGCCTCCTTCTGAATCACAACAATTCTGTGATCAAGCGAACATTTAGGTGGACAACAAATCCATATCCCATGAAAGAGTATAAAAAAAAACCAATACTTATAAATGAGATGGACCATGGGGTGGACGAACAAGATGTGGGTGGGCAGCAGATTCTTTCTACATTACTTACACAATCACTACAAGTTATTGTGGTCAGAAGCAACAGCTGTGCTCAGAATTACTAGCTTCAGGAAACCCGTGAAATGATGATTTGTTTTGCTGTGCAACATTTACAAAAGTAAACAGGAGTTGGACTATTTAGCGACTGTTTGCTACGACAAATGAAATAGGATGGGGAAAGTACTAACTGGTCATGGAATTGCACTTCACATTGTAGCTTATTATTACTGAACGAACATCCAGCCTTTTAACTTTTGTGATCAATACTTTTATGTTTTCTGGTCTGGCTTTGATGTCACACTGTGCTGGTATCTAGTTTGTTACATGTGCTTAAAGGAGCACTAGGCACACAAATAATTCTGTCCTGTTTTCTTCATTTTTAGTTGACCTTCATCGATACGTGACACATTTTCAGTGGGACATGGCTAAATATCCTATAAAACAGTCACTACAAAATCTAACAGAAGTTATTACTAAGGTGAGATTTGATGTTGATTAAAAAATGTCACCAAAACTTTAATAAAATAAATGTATAAATAAATGCATGAATCAAACCTTTTTACTCATATATTGTTGGAATAGAATAGTCTTGCCTAAAGCATGACTTTCCTTTTCCTATTCCTTGCTTCTTGATGCTGTGATTTTTTTCTGGTAATGTTTTGAATGTTAACATTTATCGTTACAAGTTAGAGGGAGTAAAGTTCATCTTTGAAAGAGAAGCAAAGAGCAGTTCGTCATTCCAATATATTACCTTGCTCGATTTTCTTCTTCATTGACTTCAGTGGGACGAACGATCAGGTGGGATGTTTAATGGATGACAATCCATTACCATCTGTTTTGTGCACTAAAGTTAAATGTTACCCCAAGTTTGTAAACACTTGTAGTTGATAATGCGTATACCAACAATTTGAATTATGATGTAACTGAAGGCTTTGGGAGGCTGGCACTATGAAGTAAAGACATTCTTTTTCCATCTTTGAGCTCCCACATTTTTCAGTCTCCAGCCCACTCCATGGCCAGCTACGCTTTAAGTTTTAAAAAAAAAACTTTCATAAACTTCTTTTTTCACTTTTCCACTTCTTTGTAAACTTTCCTGTAATTTGCACATCTTCATTTGTCTGGTCTCAGTTCCTCCTGCCTGCAGTATTCCATTCCAGCCACCAAACCTCCCATTCAAGCTTCTTACCTGTTCGTATTCTTTGTTACTGCTGCTCTTCTTCATTGTATATGAATTGCTAAGTGCCATTTTCTGCTCTCGGATCAAACCTAGTCATTAATTTGTGGTTTAGAGCCTTTTACCTTCACTCAGGTACATTTTTAAAATTTTTTATTTGTGGCCATGTAGCTTCCTAACAGTTAACTAGGAAAAATCTTCTTGATGTTAATAGCCAGAAAAAGCAAAAGACGTTTCAGTATCCAGCCTAGTGGCCCACATTAGTTTCTCAAAGGATTTCTACCTGACCAACTTCCTTCCTGCCTCTGCCTCTGCCTCATTTTCACTCACATCCAGGCTCCACTGTAAAGCCAGGGATGGCTTAAAGCTGCAGAAATGTGGCAACAGAGATAGATTCATGAAAGGGATGTTCATGTTTGTCCAATCATTTATTGATTCACTTGTGTACCTACTGTCCTACCTATTGTGTGTATTTATTGCTTAGCTAGTGGTTTGTGCTGAATCCATTAATTCATTGGTAACTCCTGTTCCTTTCATGCGTTTTATGTTGCTATGTTCATAGATTCATCAATTCAATTATTAAGAACCCACTTTTCCCTTGAATTAGAGATAGTAGGAACTGCAGATGCTGGAGAATCCGAGACAACAAGGTGCAGGGCTGGATGAACACAGCAGGCCAAGCAGCAACTTACTGTTTTTTTGCTGCATGAAGTCATTAATAATTGTGGTTCTTCATAATTGTGTTAATTTTCAGGTATCTGCTGAGCAAATAATTTGTTGACTCAGTGATGAACAGGTTTTATTACAGTTTTCCCTGTGATCCTCTGCTCATTAATAATCTCCTGGCTATGCCTGTGTTGTGTGTCTTAAATTGCATTTACCTTCTACAACTATGTCATGTCAAACAAAACCAATTACATGCATTTTTGCAATTTAAACTCTCAAGTTTATTATGTTCATGTTTAATCTCCATGTTATTGTGTCAGCTTCTGTTCTGCAGTACTTTAGCTTATACAACCATTGAATTCTTTGGAAACATTAAGATAAGACTTATCAGTATTGTACAGGTCTTAACTCTCCTTTCAGAGATATCACAATTTATTGATGCTTATCTCTAAAGACTTGTTTGATGTTTAAGATGTTTGATATCACACCTTGATATTAGTCTCCCAATATCATGTACCTTCTTTGATGCAGAAGCTAGTTTAGTAGCTTGCTTTATGAATAGCATTCTGAAGCTATGAATTAGGAAATGCACAATATCCCCTTTCCGTTTAATTTCTTCTGTCTTCCCAGTAGAGAAGTGTCTTCCCTCTGCTTTGTATTTGCTCACAATCTCACTGTGAGTGAATTTATAGGTACAAACATAGGTCACTTTGTTGTATTGGTATTTTCCTGGCAACTTTAAATAGTGACAGAAGTGTTTGTGCAAGTGAACAGAGCTAAATTCAATTAAAGAATGATCCTTGCAACACAAACCCATGGGCAAGGTTTTCCCCTTTCAGAGGTGGAAAATTGGCCTGAAAGAGAAACTCTGCCCTTCTAAGCACCTCAGCAATTACATAGTAGGGCTGAATATTGATTGGGGACTTTCTTGACTTGCCAGCAACTAAAGTGGTCAATTAAAGGCCACTTTACGGCCTCAATTCACCACTTTCCTGATCCCTGGCAGGCAAGAAGGCTACGTAATTTCCTGACGAGGACCTGCCTGGATGAGTGGCCTTCAATTGCCCCAGTCTGAGAACAGTCAGAGATGTGTATGACAGGCACAGAGATGGTCTCTGAAAGTGATAGCCCTGTCCTTGCCTTGAAACCCTTGACCACCCCTCCCCAAGACCGCAAGAAGAAAAAGAATCCAGGCCATCTCACCATTTGATCTTCTGAAAACTAGGCCTCGACCGGTGAACTTGTTGATCTCTGATTGGGCAGTGTTCAAACCTATGATGCGGCAAGATACTTATCTTTATTTGTCTGTCAGTCATCTAATGTGCTGTCATGGTACTCCCCCTGTCCCCAAAAACACACAGAAAATATGTGGGGAGATTCTGCCTTGTGTCTTGGTAGCTGATGGAAGAGTTCAGTTTGGCTGTGAAATTGGCCCCAGTTCAAACACTAATTTTCAGTGTAATGTGTACATGAATAATGGCTGCTATTATGATTATTAGTTAAAAACAAAAATCTTGCAATTGTTTGCATGTTGGGGCCAAAGCAGATGAATGGCAGTGTAGCTTGGCACTGTATTGCTGCACTCCTACTGCCATTCCAATCATCCTCATCACTACATTCCCTCTTCACTTATCTGCTGCAGTTTTGGCCGTTTGTAGCCTACTTTTAGCTGCATTTCAATAGTCATAAGCAACGTATAAAAATTCTTACGGAATGTACCCAGGATAACTGGGAACAGGTCACCAGAATGGTGATGGTGTGTCTCATATATTTTGACAGATATGGACTTACTATACATTCCTTTCCAAAGAGGCGTACCTCTTTGCATTCTAAAATGGCTATTACTCGTCTAATTCTTTTATAAAGATAAATATTACATTAGAAAATATCAAACATGAAATATTTGACATTAATAGAATCATTAAGAACAAAATAACTGTTCCCTGTGTTTCTTATTTTCAGCAAATCTCACAGATTGACACTGATTTAAAGTCTCGTGCAATGACCTATAACAACACCAAGGGAAATCTCCAAAATCTGGAAAGAAAAGCCGTGTATGTAAACTGGGATCTTTACTCAATGAACCTATGCATGTTGGAAAGTTACAAATTCAAATGTTTGGAAAATGCACAATTCATGTCTTGCTATTGAGATTTGCGAAAAGCAATGTACTATATGTAGTACAGATACCAAAAAGTAGTGGAAGTTGGTACAATTACAACATTTAAAAGGCATCTGGATGGGTTTAGAAAGATATGGGCCAAATGTTGGCAAATGGAACTAGATTAATTTAGGATATCTAGTCGGCATGGACGAGTTGGACCAAAGTAGTTGCTTCTGTACTGTACAATGTATGACTCAATGACTCAGTACTGACATTTATTTTATTTCTACCAATTATGACTGATGTGTAGGCATTATAGGATTATTTTTCAACTTGTTTGGAGACCTGAACCTAAAAAGGAAATCAGGCAGAGTCTATAAAATTCAGCTAATTCAATAATGCAAGTTTCAGCGCATTATTGTCATTTCCTTGGCCTCCTACCCCCACCCCGTCAAAGTCGAAAACTAACCCATGTTATTGCGTTATCATCTAAAGCTACTGAGATCCTTTTAAAATGAGAGTTCCTAAGCTTGGACAATCAATAATGCACCAAAAAAAGACAAACTATTAAGTAAAGAAATTGAAGAACTGCAGAGCTTGGAAATCAGAAACAAAAACAGAACTTGCTGGTAAAACTCTGTGGGTTTGGCGGTATCTGTGGAGAGAAAGCAGAGTGAATGTTTTGAGTCCAGTGTCCTTTCTACAGAAATTCTGAAGTAGGGATCACTGGACCTGAAATGTTAACTCTGCTTTCTCTCTACAGATGCTGCCAGGAGAAGTGAGTTTTCCCATCAATTTCTGCTTTTGCTACAAAATATTAAGTGTTGCTGTAGAATGGATTTTCTTTTTGAAATTAACTAATGTGGAATATTAGCCCAATTTTTTTTAATAAAAAAATTGGTTGGAGATGTATTTTGATACTTAATTGAACATTTTGTTTGTGTCTAGATTTTTCATCCATCTGTCAGCTTTAAAATGTGACCGATTTTTTGTAGTACGCATTCTAATCCATAAGTTTGAACGTTCTAAGTAACTTAAATGGGTTTTTTTTAATGAACGTAAGGACAATTAACCTACATTCTGAGCTCAGAGCTAAACCCAGAAATAGTATATAGTTATTTACGTTTTTAGATGCAGGAATTTATTAGGTATCTGTTTGTAATATAACATTTTAAACATAAATAAAATATATAAAGAACATCACAAAGAACAAATCCATGAGGCATCAATAATGCAACAAAAATAGATTTGACAGAGAAAAGGAAATCTGTTGATGTAGAATGTGTTTGTTAAGATTAATTACTGTGGAATAGCAGATTTTTAATTAATGGTTTGGAGAAGCTTTGTCTTCGGTAATATCTTAAATTTTTGGGATAGAAATCCATCTCTGGCTGTGATACAAAATAGGCAAAATTGAGACAGTAACCCATTAGACATAATGCCTGACACTCAGTTCCATTGCAATTAACAGAACTAACTATAAGGTACTGCACAGAACAGGTGGCTGAACTGCCAGGCAAGTTTCAACACCTTATTGGTTTACACGAGTCTGGGTTATTTTAGAGGCAGTGGGCATTGGGTGGAATGTGTTACTTACTAACGTGAAACAGTTACAAGGGGCCAAATGCTCCATAACTTATACATTCTTAAACTATAATGGGAAGTGAAAGGATCCAGTTGTGTCTGCAAAAGCCAGGAGATTGAGTTTCCCAATATGGTGCTGAGTTTTAACTCCGCACTATATGACTTATCTCCTTAAGAGTTTCCCTGCCAGAGTCAAGCTTAGTTTCCAATCAGGTGGTTTACAGTGCAGACTCCTGGTCTGGCGAGAGTTGGGTTCAGATGCCCAAGTAGGGCATGATTCTCAAGCCATGATAGTGGGGCTGTGCTCTGATGGCTGGGGAGATTCAGAGAGCTGGGAGGAAGCTATTCTGTTTCTTGTGACCTGCAATAAGAGGTGTGAAGGCACCTGCCTTCTCACAGAGACTGTCCTCGTGTCTGTAGCAGTGACTGGTCTTGCGGCCCAGGAAACGCAGCTGCAATTCTCCAAAGTGTATTAATATATTTAAAAAGCTAACTGACATCCTGGGGTTAAAATTGTTTCAGAGATAGTAGGAACTGCAGATGCTGGACAATCTGAGATAACGTGTAGAGCTGGATGAACACAGAAGGCCAAGCAGCATCAGAGGAGCAGGAAAGCTGATGTTTCAGGTCGAGACCCTTCTTCATTTTTCTGAATAAGGGTCCAGACCGGAAATGTCAGCTTTCCTGCTCCTCTGATACTGCTTGGCCTGCTGTGTTCATCCAGTTCTACACCTTGTTATCTCAGACATCCTGGGGATACTTTGGCTGTCCACCTCCGACCTGCCTCAGTAAAATTCAGAGGTTAACAGATTGACCTTGACTTCCCAATACATTCCCTGGTCATGTAACCTCCCACTTACTTATCCATATTAAACCTCCCTCTGTGTGGTAGTAATCACATCTATAATGTAGTCAGTTAAGTACTTAAGAGAAACTTTTTATTGTACTAAGGAAAATAAATACTCATTTTCACCTTTCCTCTGTAATTCTTTGGTAGGGTATTTTTTTCACTTGCACTAATTACCAGAACCTTATTGAAAATTGCAATTCCAGCAGGAGTCACTGGCTAGTGATTCCAGCAGCAGGGCAACTTTGCTGTTCTAAACACAGGAACAATCTGGTAAAATTAGTCATTGCCAGTCACAGAAAGCAGGCTGAGAACAAAATTCTGAGTGAAGCAATGTCAACAGACAATAATATCTGGGTTGGTGTAAAATGGGCTGTTGATTGTTTATTCACGTATTTTACATAACATGCATTGAACACACTTATAAAGCCTCTACTACTGCTGGACAAAAATGAATAAACTCAACAGATAAACTGGAAGATGGATAGAGGAGAAGATAGGTGGAGAGGAGACAGACAGGTCGAAGAGGCGGGGATGGAGCCAGTAAAGGTGAGTGTAGGTGGGGAGTTAGGGAGGAGATAGGTCAGTCCAGGGAGGACGGACAGGTCAAGGGGGTGGGATGAGGTTAGTAGGTAGGAGATGGGGGTGGGGCTTGAGGTGGGAGGAGGGAATAGGTGGGAGGAAGGACAGGCTAGGGAGGCGGGGACGAGCTGGGCTGGTTTTGGGATGCGATCGGGGGAGGGGACATTTTGAAGCTTGGGAAGTCCACATTGATACCATTGGGCTGCAGGGTTCCCAAGCGGAATATGAGTTGCTGTTCCTGCAACCTTCGGGTGGCATCGTTGTGGCACTGCAGGAGGCCCAGGATGGACATGTCGTCTGAGGAATGGGAGGGGGAGTTGAAATGGTTTGCGACTGGGAGGTGCAGTTGTTTAGTGCGAACCGAGTGTAGGTGTTCTGCAAGGCAGTCCCCAAACCCCCGCTTGGTTTCCCCGATGTAGAGGAGGCCACAACGGGTACAGGGGATGCAGTATACCACATTAGCAGATGTGCAGGTGAACATCTGCTTGATGTGGAAAGTCTTCTTGGGGCCTAGAATGGGGGTGAGGGGGGAGGTGTAGGGGCAGGTGTAGCACTTCCTTCGGTTGCAGGGAGAAGTGCCGGGTGTGGTGGGGCTGGAGGGGAGTGTGGAGCAGAAGAGGGAGCCACGGAGAGAGTGGTCCCTCCGGAAAGCAGCTAAGAGTGGAGAGGGAAAAATGTCTTAGGTGGTGGGGTCGGATTGCAGATGGCGGAAGTGTCGGAGGATGATGCATTGGATCTGGAGGTTGGTGGGGTGGTACGTGAGGACGAAGGGGATTCTGCTTTGGAGTTCGTCCTCACGCCGCCTACCCCGCCCTCACCTGGTCCTCACGTACACCAAAACAGAATCCCCCTCGTCCTCACGTAACCAAAAAAGAATCCCCCTCGTCCTCACCGACCACCCCACCAATCTCCGGATCCAATGCATCATCCTCCGACACTTCTGCCATCTGCAATCCGACCCCACCACCAAAGACATTTTTCCCTCCCCACTCTTATCTGCTTTCTGGAGGGACCACTCTCTCCGTGACTCCCTCGTCCGCTCCACACTCCCCTCCAGCCCCACCACACCCGGCACTTTTCCCTGCAACCGCAAAAAGTGCTACACCTGCCCCTACACCTCTCCCCTCACCCCCATCCCAGGCCCCAAGAAGACTTTCCACATCAAGCAGATGTTCACCTGCGCATCTGCTAATGTGGTATACTGCATCCGCTGTTCCTGTTGTGGCCTCCTCTACATCGGGGAAACCAAGCGGAGGCTTGGGACCGCTTTGCAGAACACCTACGCTCTGTTCTCACTAAACAACTGTACCTCCCAGTCGCAAACCATTTCAACTCCCCCTCCCATTCCTCAGACGACATGTCCATCCTGGGCCTCCTGCAATGCCACAACGATGCCACCCGAAGGTTGCAGGAACAGCAACTCATATTTCGCTTGGGAACCCTGCGGCCCAATGGTATCAATATGGACTTCATAAGCTTCAAAATCTCCCCTCCCCCTACCGCATCCCAAAACCAGCCCAGCTTGTCCCCGCCTCCCTAGCCTGTCCTTCCTCCCACCTATCCCCTCCTCCCACCTCAAGCCCCACCCCCATCTCCTACCTACTAACCTCATCCCGCCCCCTTGACCTGTCCGACCTCCCTGGACTGACCTATCTCCTCCCTAACTCCCCACCTACACTCATCTTTACTGGCTCTATCCCCACCTCTTTGACCTGTCTCCTCTCCACCTATCTTCTCCTCTATCCATCTTCTATCCGCCTCCCACTCTCTCCCTATTTATTTCAGAACCCCCTTCCCCTCCCCCATTTCTGAAGAAGGGTCCAGGCCCGAAACGTCAGCCTTCCTGCTCCTCTGATGCTGCTTGGCCTGCTGTGTTCATCCAGCCCTACACCTTGTTATCTCAGATTCTCCAGCATCTGCAGTTCCTACTATCTCAG